TTGTGACTTCGACTCGTATTCATTTCTCGCTTCCACTTCACAATTTTCATTTCTTTCTCTCTTTGTCTTACAAAATGGTCGGTGAACAACATAATGCATCAAATGAACAAGTTACCCAAATTCTCGCCGAACACAGACGAAAATCCGAGATTTGAAATTCATACAACTTGGTGGTCCTCACGAACGGGAAAAGAAAGTCATAATGCAAAATGTGTCAAGCTCTCCATACGGCAGAACGAAATTCTACTTTAAGGCGGCACACCGAAAAAACGTGCCTGAGGTTGAGATCGGGGGGCGATTCAAACCAACCGATACTTGACACTCAAGATCAAATGCGGTCGTTTGATACCGAGTTGAACCGACAAATGACAACACAATGTGTCATTCAAGTCGGGTTGCCTTTCGGACATTTCGACAACCCTCACGTTACGAAGTTGATCCAAAATAAACTTGAACCACGATACAAGCCGGTAAGTCGTCAAACCCTTAGATATGATGCAATTAAAATGTGGGAAATATGTTGAGGTGAAATAACAACAGATGTTTGCACTTTTGCCTAACAACATTTTTTTTAATATGTGATGTATGGAGTGCACTATATGGATTGATGGTTTCTTATATATGCATAATGGCACATTGGATTGAGCCTTCATCATGGCATTTACTCAAACTTGTAATCGCGTTTGAACCGTTTAGTGCGCCACATTCGGGTGCACGTCAATTTTCAATTATTAAAAAAAATGTCTTGCATTTGAACCGTTTGGTCGGGTCGGTCCTTCGAAACCCTCCAAGACCGCAACCGGTCCCAGTCGACGATCCTATAACCGATCCCGGGCCGGACCAGTACTTTACCGGTCCCGGTTCCAATCCTCCGGCGGTCCCAGGCTGGGTCGTGCCGGTTGGCCATCACTACTACACAGGTCTCATCCGGGCTATGCCCAAGTCCACATCTGATCTTGGTTTGACCTAGTTCGGCCATGCAGCCAGTCCTTCATATTTCTGACTTCGTTTTCGGGAAAATTAACCAAAATAGTCGATCTTTCTAATCAAATTCAAGTAGTCATATTTTCAATCGAGTTCTTATTTTAATCAGTGTATACAGAATGACTTATCATTTGCATGAACTCGATTTTCAAATTAAAAAGAAAATCTTCACGTAAACTTGCGTAAGGATCCACATTTGCATAAGAAATTTGCATGACAATCACATTTGTATAAACATTTTTGTTCTTTTTTTAATATAAAGGTAGCTTTACTAAATACATAAAGAATTTACATAAACTCTGATTAAAATTGGAATTTAATTGGAGAGATTGACTATTTAAGTCAATTTCCCCGGTTTCAACCATTTTCCTTCATTTATTTTGCATAAAAGATTTAGCATTGACATGTGGTACAAATCACAGGTCAATCAACTAAACAAGTCGAATTTTGATCCAAACTAAATAACAACTATTTTTTGGATATTACGTTAAAAAAATTCTAACCATAACAATAATTGTCGTTTCAGGATTTATGTAAATAAATATATAAATGACTAGCATTTGAATTTTCCCTATAAAAAGTTATGTAATTTAAATAAATTTATTTTAATAATATATTTGTATTTTAAGATAGATAATCTGCAAAAAATATATATAAATATCATTGTTATAAAAGAAATATTTAATGTGAGACCCGCCATATGGCAACTAGGTTTTGTTTTTCTCGATTGCTTTCTATTTTTCTAAACAAAACTTGGCATTTTATCGATAAATACATCTAGAGATGTCTAAGAAAAAGTTTTACCTGAAGACCGGTCCTAGAACATAGGGACCCATTCCTGGCCAAACCAGAAAACTTGATCGGGCCAGTTCTCTTTTTCAAGATCTATATTAAAGTTCAGACGAAAGTTCAGGTTTAAGTTAAAATTTCGACCTAGTCCACATCCCAAATAACGTACCCGGTCCAACCAGCTTTTTCCAGACCTAGAAAAATCTAATAAACAAGTACACACCTTTGGCTCTTAAATAAGACTGTGTGCAACAAAATAAAGAGAGCTAAAAAGGTGATTTTGGGGCTTACATGAAAACCGACGACGGGAAAAGACCTCATATGAATAATAAACAAGTACACACCTTTGCCTCTTAAATAAGACCGTGTGCAACAAACAAAATGGTCTGGGAAAGGAAATAAAACCCTCTGCAGTTGACTTGTAAGCGATTCTAAATCATGCTTGATCTCATTCAGTCTTTCAAAACAGATATAAATGACCTTGAAACTAGTGTTTAAGCTTGCTAAAGATTCCCTTATACACATGCACAACATGTTAGGGAACTTATCAAACTCAAGTATGAACTTGAGCAATATGCACCTAAGATTGTATGCAACATTTGACACATAATGTTTAAAATCATGTAAGAGATGGTGATATTATATAATTGAAAAATAATCTTAATAATAAAAAATAAATAATATTTATATTAAAATGAATAGTTAATTTAATTTTAATGTGATGGGTGATGGGTGATGGGTGGTGGGAGTGAGACTAATAATGAGAGGGTCATGTGAGGGTCGGGCCCAACAAGTGGTCGTGCACATGCAAATAACATGCAATGGAAAACATTCATTCACACACATACATGATCCATGATCCATGATCCATGATACATCTTCTCTAAATCCCTTTTCCTCAATTATTTAACCTTTCCATCCAAACATACATATATCATCATCAACATACACACCATTAGGGCTATAAAACGAATCGAACGAACATGAACGGAGGCTTGATCATGTTCGTTCGTTTAACTTAACCGAACAAACGAACACGAACGGTAAAAGAACGAAAATCTTTGTGTTCGTGTTCGTTCGTTTAGAAATCAGGTGTGTTCGTGTTCGTTTATGTCCGTTCGTTAACATGTTAAACGAACGAACATAAACGAACGAGCTAAACAAACATAAATAAATATTATTTGAATTCAAAGTAAATAAACGAAAGATTATATATTAAATTTAATATATAAACGAACGATAAATGAACGAACAAGACTTTTGTTCATATTTGTTCATTTAACTAAACAAACATAAATGAACTTCCCGCCGAACGGTTTACAAACAGTTCGTTGAACGTTCGGTTCGTTTACAGCCCTACACACTATTACGATATTATGAATAGGTTGCTTACAAACTGAAAAAACCAAGTTATTTCTAGAGGACTGGATCACTTACATAGCGATCCAAAAAGTTGCTTGTCACACCGTATCTTCGAATGCATGAAAATCTTCAACTGATATCAAACTCGAAGTCTACCAAGTTTGAGTCTCCACGTAAAAATCCATACTTTCCTAGGCACCAAATTACTATGTGTTGTTTCCATCGAGTGAGCTTGAGGCCTAAGAAGCTTTAGATCAACCAAAGCTTTAAGTTTGCTAACCGTAAAGTTGGTCGTCATCACCTAGAAACCATATCGATTTCTCCTTTTCAAACCGTAAATTAATTCTATTTTTTATGTTTACACATGATATATTGCATTAGGATTAACATGTTTAATTAGTCAACATATATAACATATGTTAATTCATATATCTATACTATATTACAAAACATTTGACAAAAACTCTTAAAAATCATTTTTTATGCACGAAGTACTGTTTATTGATGCATATTACTTAAAATTTAAGATTACAAGTAAATTGTGCATAAGTACAACTTATTATAGCTTCATATTTGAATTCGTGTAACCAACTGCAGATAAACATAGTTAAATATTTGATAAACATCTTATTTTAAATATAAAAAATCTAAAATTTAATTAGGATAATCATTGAGTTTTCACAGAATACTTAGTTATTATTTTCATAAAAAAATTATATTATTAAATCTAAATTAAATTTCTTTGTTACTAAACCTAAATTAAATTATAATTAAAAAATTTGAATTAAGAAAATTACACTAAAACACAAAAACTTTTAAAAAGATTATTTGATACTGATATCGATCAAAATTTTATGATATTTTCAAATTTATATTTTATTCAAAAATAAAAACATTATCGTTTTCTCAAAACCACGTAAAACCGTATTATATCGACATAAAAAAGAAATAAAACGAAACACTAAAATCAAGATGTGTCTCGATACATTGCACGAGTACCCTTTTAGTTTAATTATAATACATCAATAACAACACGTGATTTTGTAGCACATAAAATGGAAACTCTATAGTAACTAGTAGATAATATATGATTTGTAGTAGAAACGTTATTTTGAGGTTGTGTAATAAAATAACAATTCATCCGATAAACGCTAACCGTGGTAAGAGTTATCACTCTTACTTATCGGGTAATTAGGATTCTTAGTCTTTACTTTCACTCTTACCAGGTAAAATTCTTAGTTCTTGTTATATTTATTCGGTAAAATAATATAACTTAATAAATATTTTTCCGGTTAAATATTTGGTAAAGAGTCCTAACAAAATTTATCACCCTTTGTATTAAAAAATCCACCATGTTGGTGATGAATAAGGTAAATCGAAGATTTAGATATTAATTAGAAAAGCTAAAAAGGGGAAGATGCAAAAAAGCGGTAGTGCATGTGCCCACCCTAACAGAAACCACATGCCTCTTGCCTCACTCACAGTCACATTTAATTTCAACATCAAAAGGGATAATATTTATTTATACCTTTTTTTAATTTATTAATTATTTTAATTTTTTTTATGATGTTTACATTCCATTCTAACCTCTGTTGTTTTTGATGAATATGTTTTTATTAATTATTTATTTTTATTAAATTATGTGTTTAATAAAACATTAATATATATTTATATTTAAAATGGGATGGGGGAGGGAATATGGGCACTAGACTTGTGTCGGGCCGACTTTAGACCCGTGATTCAACTTGACTGTTCTCTAGCTTGCATGCCTACGGTGTAAATGTGGACCCGCATGTAGGATATCAAAAGGAAGATCTATTCTTCCATCTATAAATAGCTGCAACACTTCCCCATATTTTCTTCAACCAAACCATTTCCCCAATATCCAGCATTCTCAACCGCCATGGCTAAGTTCGTCGCTGTCTTCCTCTTGGCTCTCATCGCCATCTTCATGCTTCAAGCTACTGTAAGTCTCTGCAATTCTGCCTTTCAAGTGTTTGATTAATGTTGTTATCTTCTTCGGACATGATTTGATATTTTTTCTTCTTTTTAAATTGGATTAGGTCTCGGCTAAAGGAGGACATGGCCACGGATCTGGACCTGGAAGTTTGACAAGCTCTCGTAAGTTTTACATTCTGCTTTTAGATTCAGTGTTCGATCTCTTCGATTAGCGAATTAAAGTTAGCTTCGATCTTCGATCCATCTGTAAACTGCAGTTGTCATTTTGAACTTTTAACTTCATTCTAATTTCTGATAACTGATTTGCGCGGACACGAACAGAGTGCCCAGGGCAGTGCATAAGGAGATGTAGCAGGACTCAGTACCATAAGCCATGCATGTTCTTCTGTCAAAAGTGTTGTGCCAAATGTCTCTGTGTTCCCCCGGGTTTTTACGGTAATAAACAAGTATGCCCATGCTACAACAACTGGAAGACCAAGGAAGGTGGTCCTAAATGCCCTTAAACGACTTCACCAATATTTACACACTTAACATCCAAATCCGGGGTGCTAATTACTCGAGTAATGCTACTACTGTTGGATGAATTTTACTATGTATTAGTTCTCTTTTCTTCTTCAAAGTTGTAATATGTGAGGTCCATTTGATCAAAAGTGAAAATGGACTAACGGAATTTTAATGCTTGTTAGCGTGCCGCATTCCGTTGGATGCTTGTCTTGCATCCAACATGTGACTGGGCCCCCAAATTCTCACTTATAATTATTTTGTTTTTATTGAAATATATTATAATTTATATGTCTCTTTGTTTTTTGTATTTAATCAACATAATATTTTATTGGTTGAGATAGTTTTTGTTTTAATTTTTAAATAATAGTTGAAATAATTTTATCGGATATGTTATGATGAATTTGTTGTCAATAATAAATTACCGTATTTTATTCATGTTAAAAAAAAAGTAAAATTATGTTTTTAGTCTTTATGATTTATTGAAGATTTTTATTTTTATCCTTATAATTTTAAAATTTTAATTTTCATTCATATAGTTTGTAATTCATTATCTTTTTATGTTATTATGACTTAAAATTATCTTTTTTATTTATATGGTTTACAATTTATTTCTATTTAACCCTTTATATTCAAAAGTAGTGTTTTGGAGTCAAGGACGAAAATAGAGATGGATTAAAAATCATAAGAATGAAACTGAAATTTTAAAACCACAAGGATGAAATTGCAATTTTAAGCAAACCATAGTGGATTGAAAACGTAATTTACTCTAAAAAAAATAAGAACTTTAAAATATCTGACATCAATGTTTTTGAATAAATTTTTTGAAAATTAGATAGTGCCTAATGTTATACTTCATTCGCACCAAATTAAATGTCTACGGTTGAAATGACACATAATTTTAAACAAACATAGTTATTATACTTTTCTGTTAACCAAATGATATTCTTACTATTTTATTTATATCTTTTTATAATTCTTAAATATTTGTATATTAATTAAAAGTAAATTTAAAGTTTTGATTATTTACTTTCAAAAATAGATACTTATTTTTAAACAAATAAAATTATAGACGCTTGTTTGGAGCGGATGAAACATTAAACAAGTCAAATCAATATTTTTAACCACCACACGTATTTACATAATTCGGAGATGCCTAATACGTACCATCTCCAACTCATTATTGAGATAAGATATATCAGGATTTATTTAATCTAATTTTAATAATAAATATCATATGTATTATTTTTATTTGTTTTTAACATCAAAAATAGAGTACATTACATGGTTGGTCCCTGTGATTTATATAAAATCATATCGTGCGTTTCTAAATCAAAATAATTATGGAAGACGTCCTTATGGTTTACATTTTTACACGTCTTTGGTTCCTTTGCTCTAACACCGTTAACAATATTTGTTAAAGAGGTTTACTCAAAGGGTTATTTTTATCTTTTTATCACTTTTTAGTTTTATAGTAAAAACTTATGTATTGATTTAAAAATCATAGGGACCAAGAATGCAGTTTGTATATATTTTGCATATAACATAGACTGGTCCTCACTTTTTGGGTGAAATAGCCGCTGCCTCCTCCCCTCGACCATCACCAAAAGCCATCTCCGCCCCCCTAGAAGATTACGGCATTCCTCAACACACCAAAAGCCATCTCCGGCCTCCCCATCACCAGCGACCACCGCCCCTTCCCTCTTCAACCTCCCCCTCTTCTTCACCGTAAAGAACACATCGGCTTCCATCTCCGATGAACCCCCTCCCCTCTCCCTGGGGGTCTCAACTTCATCCAGATCCAGGAACCATAATGATCTGCTTTTCCGGATCTACATGTAAAATGACCATAAAAAACACGAGAAAGGAGGAACTGTATTCGAAGGTTGCTCATATATATATATATATGCATGTTCAAATGAAAACCGTGCATTTTCTAAGAAACCGTGTAAACCAATTTTGTCCAATAGAAAATTTTCATTTTTTTTCTAATTAAATTTAATCAATAAGGGTATTTCGGTTATTTATAATATTTTTTATTAAATATGGAAGTTATTAATAAATCTTAATTAAAGAAACGTAATAAAGGAAATTGTATAAATAGTAACATTTAAATATTTAATTATATTATAATATTAAAAATTTGAATTTGATATATTGTTATGAGATTGAATATGCAAACGGGTCTTGAAGATTGAATTGCATTATGGAATGAAATCGTAAATTATGGTTCAAATTAAAAAAATAATGTTAATGAAACAGGTTTCATGAAGGTGAAACTGGTTCATGTTGTAATTGATTCATGAGTAATATGAAATAGTTTCTTGGTGAACCACGTTTCAGTGATGGTGTAGTTGATCCGTTTAGTAGAAAAAATGGAACATGAAACGGGTGCATAATTTATTTGGTTCGTCATGAAATAATTACATGATAAAACGAGTACATGATGAATCTGCTTTGGGATCTTGAAGATTGTAATCTGCTCCAGAATCTTGAAGATTGTAAGGATTAAAGAAAATAATGCATCAAATCATGAGTGAAATAAAAAAATTAATTTACATGAAACAGATTTCATGAAGGTGAAACTGGGTCATGTTGTAATTGATTCATGAGTAATATGAAATCATTTCATGGTGAACCATGTTTCAGTGATGGTGTAGTTGATCCGTTTATTAGAAAAAATTGAACATGAAACGGGTGCATAATTTATTTGGTTCATCATGAAATAATTGCATGATAAAACGGGTACATGATGAATCTGCTTCGGAATCTTGAAGATTGAAATCTGCTCCAGAATCTTGAAGATTGAAATCTGCTCCAGAATCTTGAAGATTGTAAGAAGTAAATGAAAGAATGCATCAAATCATGAGTGAAATAAAAAATTTAATTTACATGAAACAAGTTTCATGAAGGTGAAACTGGTTCATGGCGTAATTGAACAATAAGTGGTGCTTTCATGGTGAAACCCGTTTAAGTGATGGTGTAGGTGATCATTTCAGTAGATGAAATGAAAAATGAAACGAGTGCATAATATAGGCGGTTCGTCATGAAATAATTACAAGATGAAAAATAAATTAGTTTCATTAATAATAATAAATATTAACGTAAAAATAATAAATTACTTTACAAAAAATAGATTAGTTTCATTAATAATATGATATACATGATATAGTTTCTTTGATTAAATGAATATTTGGTTTTACCCTTTTGCCCTTATTAGTATTATAAAATGTATTTTCAATTTTTTTTATTTTTAATTTCCTTAAATAACCTTGATTAATATTAATCATTGATCAAGAAAATGGATGGGTGAAATTAATTTACACGATTTACACAATGGATGCAGTTTTTATTTGATCGCTCCTATATATATATATCAAAAATAGAGAACCAAGTAAAAAGACTAAATTGCCCCTCTGAGTAAAATGATTTAACAGGTAATTTTAACGGTGTTAGGATAAAGGAACTAAAGATGTGTAAAAATGTAAACTACAAGGATATTTTCTATAATTATTTTGATTTGATAATGTGATTTTGTGTAAACCACAGTGACCAATTATGTAAATTATAATTAATTTCAAATAATTTAATATTTAACTAAAGGTATTGATGGAACTTTTTCAATGCCATAACATGTAAGAAACATGTTTTGATATATTTTACTCTATATATTATTAATTAATTAATATAATAAAGAAAATAAATAAAAAACACTAAAAAATTATGAGGGCGACAAGCGTAACATGCAAAGTGCCCCCACTCCTTATTACTCAAACATGAGATTTCAATTTTGTGGGTTACCTTAAATATTAATAAGAAAAAATGTCCACACTTAAATCAATCCAAATCTCGACTTATATTTTTCACGTCAACTTGTATTATCATACCATCTTTAGTCTATTTGTGTAATGGATTTACAATATTTTTGTTGATGAAAATCGTCTATTTATGTAATGGTTTACAATAAAATTCAAAGAGGAATAAAAATCCTTTCGTAGCTATGGAGGTTTAAATGTAATGACTTCAAGCTACTTACAAAACTTACAAAGTAGATGCTTGTTTTAAAATTAGTTGACTCACGTAATGGGTAGAATATAAACGTTAATAAAATAAAATTGAGGTTAAAAAGTGAACCGGACTCGGAGGGTTGTGTTTTAAAGATAATCGCCGTATCCAACCCCACCAAAATCCACCGACAGACCACAGTAGTCAAAGGTATGGAGTATGGACCTTCATCAATCACCGCCGGAGCAATCTTCCCCTAATCTTTTTTCTTTAAATTTTAATAATCGTAAAATACTTGTTTCTTGGGTATGAATTTGGGTCTTTACGTTCATGCTTCGAGATCTACCTCCTTCATGTGCCAATTATTCGTCAATTTTAGAATACCAGTGCCGATTTGATTTCCTTCTTTGATGTCAGATCTTTAGCTGTTTACACATAAGATATGGACTTATCAACGGCGCTTTACAGCCAGCTTAAGGTTTGCCTTCATCTCTTCTGTTCCATGAATACATTCTACTCAATGTACTGCAATATTTACTCCTAATTCTGAAACATGGGTGATATTTCTGTACATTGTTCTTCAATGTAAATTGGTATTGTTGTGTCTGAAATCTTCGATGTGAAATTTGATAACCGTTTTGGAATCTGCAACATAGATAGTAATTAAAGATCCAACAGTGGTGATCCCACAATCTTTGCCAAGGAGATGGTCATCCAGTCTACAACACCAGAATCAGTAAAGTAAATATAGATCAATTTTGTACTCTGAAAGATATAATTATCATTTGGTCTTAGGGGTTTTGGTTGATGGGAAGGTTTATTTTTGGGAGGGTTTTTCATAGATGCAAGGAGTGGTTTTTAATTGGCAGGGGGAGGTTCGGAAAAACTTAGGCATTCTGCATAAAGCCCCCTGAAGCTTACTGAATAAACCACTTTATATATCATTAAGCCACTATCAAACAGTTACATATAGCTGATCTATTAAGCTGTGAGTCCCATTAAGCTCATTAAGTTGCTAACGGACATTCCCTTAATAGAAAGTGTTGTTTTGTAATGGTCTTTGAAGGGATTTATCTTTCCTTTTTTTTATTTCTCTGTACTAGAAAGTGTCCATAGTCATCAGCAACTATTACATATTAGAACATCTTAAGAACTTGATGAACATTTTCGCTCTATAGTTTTCTCCACCATGACCATGAGAGCTTACTTTTCTTTTTCTGTCAAACTTGTAACAGGAAGCGCAGCCATTCTTTGTGTTAGCTGGTCCCAATGTGATTGAATCTGAGGAACATATTTTTTACATGGCCAAACACATTAAGGCCATCACTTCAAAGTACATTCTTTTACCTGTAACTATGCATATATGTTTGACAGACTTTCAGCATATAATGCCATATGTTGCTTGCATTTTTGCAGACTCGGGTTGCCATTAGTTTTCAAGTCAAGCTTTGACAAAGCCAACAGAACTTCGTCAAAATCTTTTCGTGGGCCTGGATTAGCTGAGGGACTGAAGGTATATCTGCATTTTACTATTTTCTTAAGGCGGTAGAGAACTTTTAAAGTTTTCTAATATGTTAAACATCCTCAACCTATTGAAAGTTCTGTTTATGATATATTAGTCCATTTTCTTGCTTAATCGAACTTTCTGGAGCTGAAACAGATTCATGGCAAGTTGGCAACCAGTTGTATATATATACTTTTTGTACACCATAGATACTATATCGTTTATGTGATGCAACTCACTTGTGTCTTTTAGTCCCTCGGATACAAGTATTATGGTATTGGTGGCTGTGTAACTGTATTTGGATCTCTTCTTAACTTCTGATCCTTGATAAATGGTGTACATAAAAATCCAATGAGTAATGTTAAATAGTTTTACAAAATAAATTGTATCAGTAAAAGTTTGATTGCATTAGAGAGTATCCTAAAAGGGGCTGAACTCCAAACCTGTCATAAACTATTTGGCAAGGAAACTACTGATGTATATGATAATATCTTGTTAAAACTGTATTGATCGTCTTGCTGGTCAATTGCAGATCCTTGAAAAGGTGAAAGTGGCATATGACTTGCCCATAGTGACCGATGTACATGAAGCTAATCAGGTAATCATTTTACTTCTTCAAGATACGGTCCTTCAAATTTCAATATACTTGTATGGTGTTCACTGGAATAGGATAACCATCCGCCTATAGTGCCAAATTTCAAAATATAAGCTTAGAAACTACCATTTCATATAAAAAAGTGATATTCGTCGCCAAGATTATATCAAATATTTGGATCTTGTTTTCTTAAATGTAATGTATAACATATTTACCCTCTCTTTATTCTTCCTTTTTCAGCCCTCTCCGTTTGTTCAGATTTAAGTTCCCATTTGGCCATTTTCATACTATTAGAATTTTCCATGGGTCTCCTATTAAGCCAAATTCTAGTTGAATTTAGTTTAGCTGTTGCCAACCAGGTGATTTGATCTGAAGAAGGGCTTATTTTGCTACCGAAAGCAGATACATAACTTCGTATAACTATTATCTTTTATCAGTGTGAAGCAGTTGGCAGGGTTGCAGATATAATTCAAATTCCAGCCTTCTTATGCCGACAGGTAAGATTGATCAGACTGAATTGCTTCGAGATATCCTATCACCAACATTATCAATGTATCTCATCTAGTCTAAAATTTGTGATTATGCCATTCCTCATGTCTGCAGACCCGTTTCTATATTTCTATTCTGTGACAAGGCTCGTTCTAGAGGTTTTAACACATTTCATCTAAACTTTTTTCTGATAGACTGATCTCCTAGTTGCTGCTGCCAAGACTGGAAGAATCATAAATATAAAGAAAGGCCAATTCTGTGCTTCCTCTGTAAGTTATCATGTTTGGTTGACTTCAATGACCATTTGTGGAACCGTTTTGGCATGTTCAATTGGCGTGGAAATAGTAACCTGATCTGTTGCCTTTGTAGGTCATGACCAACTCTGCAGAAAAAGTCAGATTGGCTGGAAATCAAAATGTTATGGTTTGTGAGAGAGGGACCATGTTTGGATACAGTAAGTTGCTGTAAGCTTATTTTTATGCATTTGAATGTTTTTCTTCCTTCTTCTTCTTAATGCCTAAAGCATTGTTTATTGTCTAACTTGCAGATGATTTAATTGTTGATCCACGCAACTTCGAGTGGATGAGAGAAGCTAATTGTCCTGTTGTGAGTACAGTAACATTGATGCAGACATAAATTTTTTATATGATTTCATTTTGCAAAAGATGATTTCATTTTTATAGTACTTGTCCCAAAGTATAGTACCATTTTCATATATTTCGACTTATATTTCCACGATGCAGGTAGCAGACGTTACACATGCATTACAGCAACCTGCCGGGAAAAAGGTGCACAGATGTTACAACCCCCCTCCTTTTTTTGGTCATGAAATTCAATATCACTTGTTGATTTTTTTCTAACGAGTTTTTAAACAGCTGGAAGGTGGTGGTGTTGCCAGTGGAGGTCTCCGGGAGTTAATTCCTTGTGTAGCAAGGACAGCAGTTGCTGTCGGTGTGGATGGACTTTTCATGGAGGTATGAATATGTGGTTTATTTGTTATATGTAATACCTTCTGTAATTCCATGCTTCTAAATGCATCATATATATCTGTGGTATCAGGTGCATGATGATCCACTTAGTGCTCCAGTTGATGGTCCAACTCAATGGGTAAGTTTCATGATATCGAATATACTCGTGTTATTTATTTCACCATTTCTTGACTTGGTGTTTTGCGCTTCGAAACAGCCTCTACGCCATTTGGAGGAGCTGTTAGAAGAGCTTGTGGCAATTGCTGTAAGTTTTTGACCCACTCTTTGCATAAATGTTTTATTTGTTGCATTTGTTGTATATACTTCAAAAATAAGATCACTTGATCTTCATATTAACTTTCTTTTTTTTGTGGTCTGTTATAAAGAGAGTTAGCAAGGGGAAGCAACAATACAAGATTGATCTTAGTCCGTTCCGCGAGTAACAAGTTGTATATGCTGGTTTTTCGCGTGCAATGAACAAAGAAAGGTATTGGACTCGAGAATCTCAATAAAGACGCTTATTATTGGATTCCTAACTTATTTAGACGATTGTTATCATTGCAAAACTCTAAGCACGTTAGTAATTGTTATAAATTACATGCCCACTTGTTTTCAGGAAAGATCCTGCTCTGACCTCAGATCAGATATATGCCCGTGTGAAAGATTGCAATATCATAATCTATGGTTTGAGAAAATACATTTCATTATCTACACATTATTGTTGTGTAATTCAAAATAGACACACAAACGGATGTATACTTCAAGATTTATGATTCGGGCTCTTGTTGTTCTTCGTTTCATCTAGGGGTCTTGTTTGCAAAGAATATATATTCTATATCAGATGGTCATTGACTCAACGTTACTTGGTTTAAGTGTAGAGCTTTCATGAGGTTAAGAGTTCAAATCTCACAAGGAATGTGCATGAGATTTTGACATATATAAATGTTAGGGAAATTGACTCAAATCCCCATTTTCCACACCCAAAATGGTCTCCTAACCATTTTCTCTTGGTTTACTCAAATGTCATTGCTTCCGCAATATTAGCTAAAAGGCAACAAAAAAAAAAATCAAATTCAACACAAATATGCAATTGCACGGCCAGGTCCGTAATTGCGATAGTAAACTTGTTGAATTTGAATTTATTTTGTCTTTTAGTTAATATTGCAGACCTAGTTAATATTACGGACTTGGATATTGTGAAAGTAATGACATTTAGATAAATTCGAAAGAGAAATGGTTAAAAGACCAATTTAAATGTGAGAAATGGTCATTTGATTCACTTTCCCTAAAACACTAGGTTTCATTTTTTTAGAGTGTGAGGATAATAGTATGTTTTTGAGTGTTGACAATAATGATTATGAAGGTGGGATTTTATGTGTTCTGGTTTGTTTCTATTATACAATTTCTTTTTAATTAATATTGCATTGATACATGCGCTACATGAACATGATTACATAACATTGTCAGACATCTTCCGTTTTTTCACCTTTCTTGTGTTAAGATGATCGACCATCTTCATTTTATAAATTGATTGTCTCTGATAAATTGTTAGATTATAACAAAATTCGAATGTTAAAACCGTTAAGTTGTATGAAGCAAAAATGTAAATTCACACAATCAAATCAATATAGTTTTGAATATGATTCAAAATTATTGAAGGTTAAGAAAACAAACTTTAAAGAATATTACCCGATCTACATTCTCGTAAAACTTTGATTTTTCAAAAGAAACACTAAAAACATATATTAGTATATATCGAATCAAGAAGCCAACATAAAAATGAAGATTTATTGTCCCTTTGCGAGTAACAATGTAATATCAAAATAAACAATGCTCAAATGTTCTTTTAGTGTTGTGGGTAACGCTCCTGAAAAATAAACATTAAAATGAGAATTAAGGTAATAATAAATTAAGGAATTAAAAAATAGATAAATCAAGAATACAATGAAATTGAAGGAGTACTGGAATGAAATACTTACATGTAATAACATGTGTGTCTTGATGATAAAACTTTGGTGTTCATTGACATATTTAACTATCTTTAAATAGCTTATTTTTGTTTGTGTCACCTACTACAAAAAAAAAAATCAACATAAAAAACATATAAAGTCCACATAATAACAAAGATTGATCTTTTAGCAAGACAAATCTAGCGAGAGAAAATGTGTTAAAGGGAGAGATTGATAGATAGGTTAAAAAAACCAATAACATAGCCAACCAAATATAAAAAATAGCTTATTTTTTGAATTTATTGAAAAAGTCTTGTTTGGTTTGCTGTAAGCTAGCTTCCTACTTCAAGTAGAGTTTGAATTAGTTCCAGAGGCTTTTATCCACTCTTTTCAAATTATTCCCCTTATATATATATATATATATATATATATATATATATATATATATTCAATTAAATAAGGGTTAACCTAAATTGCAAAATACATTTAAAAGAAGGGAAG